TTTCCTACAGTTTTTTAATTGGCCTCTTGAAAGAAAACAGCTGGCATTAATCATTCAGAGAGAGATTTGCTGAGACTTTTAGATAATTAGTAAAAAATACTCAGACAGTTGTGTTTGCAATAGTCAACATTTGGAATACAACTTACATAACCTAATAATATCTTGAATACCCAAACTTACAAATTTCCCTAAAATTGGAAACGCCGTAGGAAAAAGTTATCTGTTAAGCTTAAAGCACATCTATCAGCCCAAAGAAGAGTTTTTATAGGAAGAATTTCAATTTGTATAATTCTCATATATTATTTTACCAAAAACAAAGGAATGGGGAACGTGGTGTTTTTCCATGATTTAAAAAGGACTTTGAGGGAGAAGCAGCTGGAACCTTTCAGCCAGCAAGACCTCCTGAAAGGAACAGAATCTGTGAAAATTTGAAACAAAATGTTCAAGTGGAAAAGTTAAAAATTGTTACAGAAAGCTTTTGTTTTATGCACAAAAGTCCATTCTGCTGAGATTTTCAAGTGTGTAAATTTGCATTTTCCCAGCATAGAAAAGTATTCAGATCTGATATTTTGTAGGGTGATAGCCCTCAAATCCTATGGGAGTTTAGATATAAAGTTAAGAGAAAATTTTGCATTATAATAGTTTATCTCTTTTATTAAGCATTGATTTAATATTAGTATATTTTGAGTTGACCTTCTGAATAGTAAAAAGGTTGATGGTTATGACACTGTTATTTTTTCACGGTTAAGATTTTCAATCTAAAGGGTGACGAAGAAAATTAATCAGTTGCTTCTTGTGCTTTCAAGTAAAATTATTGCCTTAAATTATATATTTATATTTAAAAAAAAAGTTTAACTTGTTTTGAATCTTACAAATTTAAAACAATTTTAGAAATTTACAGAACTTTCCTCTCACCCCAGGAAACCAAACTCACTGGTCAAAGAGGATGTCCTTCCTTTGATAAGTTAGCACTTAGCATCAGAAATAAAGATAACGCAGTTCATAAACGTGTTGGCGACTTTGCCCCGCTACGGTTGGTGAGGGCGTGTGGCATATTCATCCGTGACATGTGCTGGAATCCCATGCTGGAAAGATCTCAGAGGGGCCCGGGTGCTTCCCTTTGTCTGCAAATGGGAGGAGAAGCCTCCCAGACAGCATCCCCAGCCGCCAGCTTCGCGAGCCCTCCCTGCACACCTGAAGGAAAATGCATGACAGAGAGAAGAGAGGCAGGTGTTCCCGTTTTCTTGGCTGGGACCTGAACCTCTTATTGGTTCACAAAAGAAGAGGGAGGGAGGAAGGGGAAAGGAAAGGAGAGAAATAGCTTCCTGCTTCCTGCAAGGCTCTTCATGGTCATCAAGGATGAAAAACACCTACAGCCTCTCTTAATGAATCTGTCTCAGATAGACTCATGTACCACTGAGTAAAGTAATATAGTAACACCTACAGCCTCTCTTAATGAATCTGTCTCAGAGTTTTTTAGACTCATGTACCACTGAGTAAAGTAATATAGCCCCTTGATGCATCTCTGAATTCTGAATTCAGAAATCGGGGTGTTCCTTAGCACCCGTGGCAGGGGCTGGGGCAGCCTCTGTGATCCAGTCTGTTAAGGTGTCATCACTACGGCAGGGACAGGCATGCCACATGGGAGACAGAAAGGTCAAATATCTCCTCTGTGAAAGGATGAGGTTTGCCGCTAAGTGGGTAGCAAAGGTTTGTTTCTTAGACCTTTGTGGATTTGGGGATCGTGGATAATGAGGGCCTATAATACTCTTTTTTTTTACTTAAGAATGAGTTCTCCCTGGAGGGCTTTATCCTCATGAGACGTTTATAAAATCCCGAGGCGTCAGTGTGACGTTAGCACAGTGTTACCGTTGCTGAGTTTCAGGCCAGTCCTTTATGTTATTCTAGTGTAACTTCTGGCTTCTGTGCTCTGCTATTGTAGTGCACATCAGAACCGCTGGTGTCAGGAAGAATTTCTAGGAACTTCCCTAATCGATGTAGTGCTACAAATCTTAGTTTTCCGCAGTAGATCATCCGAACTCCCCGTGTTCTGTAAGCAGCGTAGGCAGTAAAAGAGGCACATCGTCTCAAAAAAAAACAAAACAAAAAAAAAACCCTAAATTAAACACCAGCACCACATTGAAGGACCACTTTTTGGCTGACCACATTAAAAGTTTGGAATAAAATCCGGTTAATGTTAAAATTAAGAAGACTTCGATTTTATTCTGTTTAGCAAATGACTCCCTGAGCCCTTTTTCCTTTTTCTAAAAATGGAACGTGACCGCTGTTGGAACTTGAACTGTTTTGGGGTGTTTTATAAGTTGATCAGGTGCACCGAAGTCTGGAGAAACAGAAGACGCTGAAAAGGGAAGCTGGGAACTTCTAGCACATTCCATTAGGTTTTAGCTTCACAAGTCTCCCGAGGTAGAGTGACCAGCCTCCCATTAGGGCAGCTTTCTGATCTGCAGCCGCGGAGTTTGGCCAGCTCGTTCGACAGGGCTGGCCAGCTCTAAGTGACTCCAGATGTTTACACACAGCGGAAAGGCAAATAGAACATTTCTACGTAGCTGTCCTTGGGGGAGGTCTAAGAGACATGGATCCCTTCCAGAATAGAATGGATTTGGACGGGCTTCACACCTTAGTGATTTCTCGTTATATTTGTCTGTGTCACCTCGCTCTGGGGGGAAAGCTGGAGAACCCACTGCAAGCTCCAGCAAGGCAGTCAAACCTGGGACTGTCATCAAGGAAATGTGTTTGCCAACAAACTAGTGTTTGGTGGGTAAGACGATCCCTTCCTCCTTCAGCTCTTTCCTTCCCCTCATGTACTTTAGTACATGGGCTGCCGAAGCGGGCACCCCAGATATACTTAGACGTGCCGAGTGTGAGTAAACCCAAGCTCAAACTTTAGTTTCATTGCCTTTCTCACAGTTTCCCCCAAGAAAAGCTCATCACTTAAAAATGCCTGTTGGTATTTAAGGTGCCGCTCTAAGCACAGATAAATCGTCGAGTCCAGTCCCTGTTCTCGGGGACCTTGTGGTCCAACAGAGGAGATAAGATGCAGAAATTCATCCTCGTGGGCCCTCGAGTCTTTGGCGAACTGAACATTTGCCAGTAAAATTGGGAATTGCATCTCCCTGACCACCAGGAGCTTACCTGTTTGAAAACCTCCCTCCAGTGGCTGACCTTCATCTACTGAGTCAGTGTGGACTCTTGTCACCTTGGCAGTGAAGATCCTCAAAATTCTGTGCCTAATCTGCCTGTTATTTAGCTTTATTGCCCCTTCCATACCACCCACTCCAGTTGATCTCTTTGGTTCAAATGGCACGGACTCCATACCCTGCAGCATTCGCTGAGGAGAAAGATGAAATTTGTCCCCTTTTTCTCCATGCAGGCCCTCCCCCAAAGCCCGCGCTCACACCAGAGTGCCCAGGGGCCTCTCTGTCCTCTGAACTTTTAAATTTGTTGTTCAGATCAACATGATCAGACACAGCCCACGTGGTCATTTATCTTTTAATTCACACCTCTCGCCTCCTGCACTAAAGCGTGAGGGCCTTGGGGATGAGGGCCGTGGCCTGTCCTGCTTTGTATCCCTAACTGCCTCTGTGTGGCAGGAGCCCCATGAACACCTCCAGCTTGTCGGTTGTGAATTGACAAAGCCTTGCCTTCCCGCTTAGAGGATAACAGTCCCAGTCCTTGGATTTCTGGGTTCAGTCAAGAACGGGTTGACCTTTTCCTCCGAGTTGGTTGTTCAAAGCCGGTATTTGCAAACGTCGCAAATTTCTTAGTCCACTTGAAAAACGTCCATTCCGGGAGCAGTGGCAATGTCACCGCCCACCATCCTGGTGTTTCTTCGTCACCACAGACGTGAACTGAAAGTGTGGGCATGGTTTTGCCCAGTGGCACTGGGGATTCACAGGGTGGCTGCTGGGTCGTTGCCGTGAGTGAGCATCATTTCCGGCTAGGTGGGGACACGTGGGAGAGCATTTCCTCCAGTTAGGAGCGTGGGTATTGGGCTGCTTGCTGTTCCCAGTGCCTCGGAAGTTCCACGTCCGTGACTCCAGTGTGCCTTCTTTGGTATTTGCTTATCGAGCTGCTATCTCTTTGCTTTTTAGATATTGCTGCCCAAGGTCCTGGTGGCCAATGTTTGTTTGCCTTGCTTGCTGTGAGCAGCATGGAAACTGCTAGCATAGCTCAGGTTAGAACTGTGGGTCTAAGGCAGAGCTCCACAGGGTGAGCTTCTGCCACCTCTGCAGGGCCCTGAGGTGCTTCGGGGGCCAGTCGAAGCAAACACCCTGTAAACACCAGAATCACCCCAAAGTGGGTGCTGCTACTCACCTCTGGGGGTAGAGAGTGGCCGTGAACGCCCAGATGCCCCGCTCTGAGTATCCAGACAGGAGTAAGGCGTGCTGAGGACACTTGGTTAAAGCTGGGGGACTTTAAAGCGCCTTCTGAACCTGAGGACGTGTGAGTCTGCGGGAAGGAGAATTTCTGGTGCCAGGACCTCCTCCTCGAACCAGATAATCCGCTCCCCACCTCCAGTGTTGTTTCCAAAAGTGATTTATCTGTCATCTTTCGGAAAACTGTTTCCAGCGCATGGCCAAATCCTAGCCAAGCAAATTGGTGTCGTGCGCCAACGAGGGAGACATCCGTGGAGCCCCGTGAGCCCGTGGTGGGTGGGGCGGGGCCGTGAGGGGCCCCCAGCATCTTCTCCCATGCCGAAGGGCACTCTGCGCCCAGATCCGTGCTCTCAGAGGCCCGGTCGGTGCCGCTCCGCACGCAGGTTCGAGGAGCCGCAGCCACCGTGAGCTCCGGGCTCTGCGTGCTATGCGTGCTTTTTCCTCCCTATGGAATAAATAAATAAAGGGAAGCACCCCTCCCTCCCAGCACTTTTCATCAGAAGGGAACAGGTGCGGGGTCTCCCGGGCGAGGCACGGAGGGGCGGTCTGCACGGAGGGCGGGTGAGTTTCTTGGCACTCGCCCTGTCCCCGCTTCTCTTGCAGCAATGAAGTGGTGAGGAGCGACTTGAAGAAGCTGCCAGCGCTTCCCACCCAGGCCCTGAAGGAGCACCCTTCCCTGGCCTACTGGTAAGGGCGCCCTCTGTGGGCTCAGATGTCCCGGGGGGTTGGGGGGGCGTGGGACTCCAGGGTGGTTCGTCCCCCTCGCCGCCACCGGGCCAGCCTGGCCCTGGATGCAGAGCGGCTCCAAACCGTATTCAGGGGCTCGGGTGTCTGTGAAAGGCTCTCTGCGTTTATTTAAACGGCGCGGTATGTGTGAGATCTCTCCTTTCTCCCTTTTCTTTCTTTTTTGTTTTTGAAAAAGGAAAACCTTCTAAGATTTCACTTGGGAAGCCTCTGCCTCCTTGGAGAGCTTTTCGTGTGCGGCTAGAGTTTCCTTTTGGAACCTTCGTCATCTGATGATAGGATGTGCGAGGGTTTCAGATGCGGGGGGAACTACAAGATTTTTTGTTGTTGTTTGGTGTTTTGTTTTGTTTTTTTTTCTCAGAAGAGAGAAGTTGAATCTTTTATTTTCCCACAACATCTCATATCTCCTGATTTAGCTGCCATGTCACGTTAGGCCGTAGCTCATCTGTCTGACCTAAAACTACTGATTCTGAATGAATCAGGCATTTGAAAGGTGCCCAGAGTGGGATTTGGGTCACAGTCGAGCGGGGCTTGCCGTCCTGGGTGGAGTGTTAAAACCCTGCTGAGCTCACTAGCCTGGACCACTCTCCTTAGAAAAGCACGAGGCAGCTTCCCTGGTGTTCCTTGTGACTCCTTAATAGAAAGCATCATCACTGCTTTTGTTAAAAAAAAGAAAGAAAGAAAAGAAAATTAGAAATCGCAGAACAGATCAGTCCTGGTCAGCTATGGCGTGTGACTCTTCCGAGCATTTCTGCAATGTGCGTTATGAAGGTTACAGAATCCCAGCATTTCACCTTGTGTGGACATTTTGCCAGTCCACACACTGGTTGTCCCATCGTTTGGGTGGCTTTAAGAGATGCCTTCGGCCGGAGTAGGGAGTGTGGACGCAGAGGGCATTAGCCGGAGTAAACCCGTACAAAGTCCTTCCTCCCCAAGAGGCCAGGGCGTGGGGCAGCCGGGCTGGAAGCGCGCGCACCGAGTGCTCCCTTCGTGGTCAGGCGTCCCCCATCCCGTCTGCTTCGCTGCCATTCTTCTTCTGGTGACATAGACATCGATAAACAGAGGCTTTCTATCATCATAACCCGTCCCCAAAGAACGGAATCTCTTTAACCTGCAGGGACTTTGCCTGTGTCCGCGTCCAAACGTCCAGCCTGGCAGTCTGCCCATGTGACCACAGACAGATGACACTATTGCCCTCTGCCTGGTTCCTTATGCCCCTGGGCCTCAGCTCCCACATCCCTGCAGCTGTTCCTTTTCAGTCACCAATGCCGAAGGAGACAGAGACACAGGGATCTAACTCTAGAGACCACTGGTTCCTACACAAGCCACGTATTTGCCAGAGGGGACTGTAATGCTGGTGGGTGGTCTGGAGTCAGAGTTGCTTATAGCTTAGTTCATCCCTCAAGTATCTCCTCATTCATTTGTTTCCACACATTTTTTATACCTGTGCGCATTTCAGAGCTATGAACTACCATTCCTTCTCTCCTCTCTCTCTCTCTCAGCCCCTCCACAGTGGGCTCTGTCTCACAAGTCATCACTGACACAGAAACTCCTTCCTTCATGTCCACACCTTCTCCTTTGTCACCATGAACATCTTCATCCCCATTCACACCTGTAGCTGTCTTGCCACATCTCTCCCTCTCTGCGACCAGGCCCGCTGCCTGGGGTCTCATTTAGACCCACAGATGCCTGTGGCAGTCTCTCAGTGCTCTGAAAGGATGGCAGGATGCAGGAGGGACATTTTTTTTTTGAAGCAGGCGCCCTCAGGCTTTACAGCCCAGCTTATATGCAAACAAGCCAGTAGCATGGACCACCCTGATGATGCATTGCTAAAAACACAACACAAAACGAATAGGCCTTTGCATCTCATTTCATCATTATTGGCGGGTTCTCGTTGGCTTTCACATTCCAGTCTACTTATTTCGATTTTTAAAAAGCAGAGACGTCAAGAAAGGGATAAGTGCTGTCCACATTTCAAATAAATATAGACTGGAGACAGAGCCAGCTGCCCAGGCTCGCTCACAGCTTCCCGTCCACACCTCGGCGTCACCGCTCACCTGCGAGATGGACCACACGGGCCTTCATTGGTGGAGGAGACCCTCACTCACGCCTCGCATCACTGTCTCAATCAGGTCGCCCACAGTCTCCAATTGCCCAGATCGTTCCGCAACGGAGGATGCATTTTTGCCATTCTCAGGGGTCCTGCTGCTCTCGCCGGCCTTCTCAGATGTGATGGACAGCCTTCCAGCCCATCACACTCGCGTTACAGCCCTAGTGAGCAGAGCAGCGGGTCTCAGAATCCCAGCCAAGTCCCTGAACTGTGGGGCAACGACCACCCCGGAGGCTTGACCTGCTTCTCTGCTGCCTCGGTTCCCCACCTGTAAAATGGAATCAGCCCCACCGACCTGACTCCAACTGTAATCGAGAGAGGAAGTGAGAAGTCACATGATGCAGCTAGCGAGGAATGAAAGGTGTATCATGATGCTGAGTAATCGTGTAATAATCCTTTCTGCCGATTTTCCCCGAGCGTTTAACAAGCTTGGGCACTTCACGCCACGTGATTTCAGTCACGTGGGAAGGCATCTCAGGGAGAAAGTCAGAGTTATGTGCTGAGGGCCACAGAACAAGGCAGGATCTGGGCCCCGACCAGCTTATGAACGCCGGACCAGCCATGCCACCCACACAGACATGTGGGGACATCTCCCTTTACTTCACAGTCACTGACCAGGGCAGGCCGATGGCTTCTTCTGCGATGGGGAATCACATCGCCATCACTTCGTTCCCCGTGCATTTCCTGGGCCCCTTGTCTGCAGAGAGGTGATTTAACTTCACGGCACCCCCCCCAGCCCATGGCTGGGGCACAGGCAGCGTTAGTCACTTGTCTTTTTCCTTCACGAAAGGACACTGTGTCCTCTCGATAGTGTTTTGGGATTCTGTTTACTTTAGCTGGTGGGTTTCTGATTATTATTCCACTGAGTCCCTACCACACACCAGGGGTGGTTGGGAAGCCGTCTGCAGAGCTCAGTGCCCCAGAAGGGGAGCCGGGCAGGAAGGAGGTCAGCTCAGCGTGTGCTCTGACACTCCAGGCCCACAGTGTTTCGATGGGGACAGAAGGGGTGGGGAAGGCTGAGGAAGGATGAGGTAGATATTGCGGCCTCACAGATGGTCTCAGACAGCAGCAGACACAGGGCAAGGTGGCGGTGGCCGGTTCCTGCAGCTGTCCGGCACGGCGAGGCCATTTGGTCAGTAACCAGCGGAACGGCCGGCTGACAGCATCCCTGGCGTCGGCTGGTGTTTTTCCTGAGCCTGGCTTGTGTTCACAGCTGCAGCGCTGTGTTGATTTTTCATCTCCCCACCTCAGCCCAGGGACCCTCTCTCCCCGAGGTACAAAGGAAATAGACTCCTATCCACAGTGAGTTGCTTGACCTTGGACCGCAAAGTCGACCTCAGAAAATGCTAGCTCCTGTGGCGGGACACATGCCGACCCAGCCACTGAGTCACTGAGGAGGAAGCCAGAATAGCGACCCGGGGACGTCCTGACGCACCTCTCAAGGTCTGGTGAGGCCTGCGTTGACCTTGAACGGGACAGTCCTGGAGAATTGTCTCAGGAGAGGGCTTTGTCACACGCAGTGTAGAACTTCCATGGTGTGTGGGAGCCGAGGAGACACACGTCTGAGTCTGCCCCTTTCCGAACAGAAGGTGTGCGGACTCCCAAGAAACAACTCTCAGCTAGAGAGAGGCCCCTCGTAGCTAGCCAGTCCCCACGCTGGGTGTTTATAAAGATGCTTGTGAGGAGTCAAACGATCCGTGCACCAAATTTGAGAATACTAAAGAGAAGTGATGTTCATTAAAGATTAAGATCGTAATTGGAAGGCAGATCAGTCACCCCCGGGTAGTAGGGAATGATCCTACAGAACGTGTCACCCCCAGAAGGGGCCTCGCTGAAAAGGAAAGAGATGGGCAGTCGGAGGCTCTGGATCAATTCTGGGATAATCAGTTAATAGTAGATCAAAAGACCGGCCACTGAGGCCCTGGGGGGTCCATGCCTGGGATCGAGTTGTGCCCTGTCGTCCCCTGGGCCACAGCTTCCACCTCACTGGGCCCAAAGACACGCATCAGAGGGCCCGTCACGCCCTCCCCCCGTCGAAGAAGGGTTTTCCTCATTGCTGTGTCCCAAGGCTTGAGCTAATCTCATTGTTCCAGAACTAGGATTTCAGTTCCCTCTGACCGTTTTATTTCCTCCTGGTTTGTGTTAACCAGGCCCAAATTCTAGGACTTTCCCATTCTCCTACTGATTTAGGGCAGGTCGGCTGCAGGTGCTCTGTCAAGGTCAACGCCTGCCCTCCCTTCATGATGCCCCACGTAGACGGGGTTCGGGAAATGAGGAGGGAAAGAAGGAAGACCTGAGAGAGTTCAACCAGAGTGTCCACTCTGGTGTCCCGCCGGTCAGTCCCCTTCCCGTCCCCTGGTCTGGTCCCTCCCTACGGAGACGCGGCTCACCCCCTCTTCTTCCTCTTCTTTCAAGGTTTCATTTCTTGCAAGGAGCCCACCCCGCAACCTGAGCTCTCATCTTATCTCGCCGATTATATGTCTGAGACAGAGAGGGTGAAACGGGCTTTTTGAGTTCACCTGTAGTTTAAGGCATCTCTGTCAGGCCGAGTCTGGAAATGCCCCTTCAGGGTCTTTTCCCGGGAGCTTTTGTCTCCTCGGGGCAGCTCCTGAGGCGGCTGGGGCTCCGAAGACGTCTCCCCATGCGCAGGGTGCTTGGCTGTCCACCCATTCTGTAACAACGGGATCCTTTGCTTGTACTTTCAGTGAGGACCGAGTGATTGAGCACTACAAGAAGCTGAACGGCCAGACCAGAGGTCAAGCCATCGTAAAGTAAGTAGCCCTCCCCGCGCTCCCGAGGTTGTGTTTGCGTGTTCACGCAGCACGTGGCGGGGCTCTTCAGCCCCGTGTCTCGCGGGGGTGGGGGAGTGATGGTTCGATTAATTTTCAAGTCAGCAGTCCCTCCGAGAACTCTATCCATACACACATGCACGCGAAAAAGCGCATGATGCCAGCCCTGCCGAATAACCGCCTCAGCAGTCCCTCCGAGAACTCTATCCATACACACACGCACGCGAAAACGCATGATGCCAGCCCTGCCGAATAACCGCCCGTGTGTGTGTGTGTTTGTGTGTGTGTGTGTGTTTGTGCTTTGTGTTCCCAGCTACATGAGCATCGTGGAGTCCCTCCCGACCTACGGAGTTCACTATTATGCGGTGAAGGTAAGTGAGCTCTTGGCGAAGGTTGCCAAGCCTGCCCTAAGGGGGAAAAAAAATCTCTTTTTAATTTTCTTGAAGAATTTAGGGGGTAGGGGGTGGGATTGGGGGTTGGGGAGGACTTGGTCAGGAAGATTGCATGCTTAGGGGGAGTTGGGGCCATGGGACTTTTCCCCGAGGTTCGTAAGACTTGATCCGGTTACTGTCCAAAACTCAGTTTCCCTTTTGTGAAGTGGGTGTAATAGATCCCTACCTCCTTTCATTCTCAGAAGGACGCTGGGAGAGCAGGACACAGAGCCTGTCAGTAGGAAGAGGATTCCCTCTTGACAGTGTAGAGAACAGACACTTCAAACAGAATTCATTGACAGTGCTTTTCCTGGTGGTCGGAAGCCATGTAGGCATCTTTAGTGGAAGAGAGCTGGGACCGTAGCCATGGAGCACGTGGCTATTTAAGAAGATATTGGCAAGTCCGATGTGGCGTGGACCCCATTCCGAATTCCCTTTAATTTTATCCATAATGTTCCAGACGGGAGTCTCTTCTTTGAAAGAACAGATAATGACAGCCCCATGCATCTTCTTCCGTGATGAGAAAGAATAACTTCCTTTCCTCAGTTTAGCCCAACATGAAAAGTCATTGCCCAAAGTTCAGCCATAGAAGAGCACAGAACACTTCCGGACTCGAGAGAGTTTCACCAGCCAGTCGGAGGTTCTCTTGCTCTTCTGCCCATTCCCTTCCCCATGGTTCCACTCGGCTATGTCTTCAGTTCCTTTAGGCTAGAACATGCGCCGTGTTTTCTTCACCTGTTGTCACCCGTGGCGGCACGCGTGACACTTTGCGTGTCCTTGGTACACATGCAGGGGCCTTTCTATCCCACTAAACTGCAGCCTGCTGATGGTGACGACTGTGCGTTGCCTTCTGTTACATAGCCTTGGAACCTAGTGTAGCGCTTGGCGCCTAGTAGATGCTCAGTAAATATTTACGGAGCGTTAACTGAGAATTGAATCGAGTCGTTCGGTGTATGCATTTCCACGATGGGAACGAATATCAGAACCATATTTCTGGATCCCAGTTCTGAGGCAGACGTGGGAACTCCAGTCCCACCCGGCAGCTCAGCTCAGGATCTGTAACCCCGCAGTGGTTAAATTCTTCCTGATGCCCTACCATAGCTCTTCACCCCGATGCAAGCTCCTAATCCCTTTTCACCATCGTTCACGGAACTCGCAGAACCATCGCAATCGTCCCTGCCTTTCTCAGGCCTAAGCTGGGGTCTGTCATGAGGAGTGTGACCTGGCCTTTTGGTCTGCCTCCTATCCCAGATCAGAAAGGTGAATTCTCTAAGGGGACCAACCCATGCAAGGCTGTACCCTGGGATGGAGCCATTAAAGTTAGTGGGCAGTCAGCTCCCCCAAAGGAAATTAGATTGTTCGTGAAAAGAGGCTCAAAATCCAGATGTCGGCAAATGCTCTCCTACCCTCGTGGAGAAAGAGCGCACAAATGCAGCAAGCCTAAATCACTGTAGCAAGACTCGCTGTTCGGTGGCCTTGTGATTTCACGGATGTTGTATCTGACGGTATGGTGACAACTCTTCTTAGTCGATCTGAAGTTGCAGCAGCGTTGGGTCACCTCCCATTCAGTTCTCTGAAACCGTGAGCACACAGAGGCGCTTTCCGGAGACAGGGTTTTATAGCTTTAAAACAATTTTTAAAGAAATCATACACCCTGAAACTTCTAAATACTCAAAATGTATTTCTTTTTCCCTCTATCTTTCTGCTTACCTTGGAATAGCTCACGCCCCCACAGATATTTAAAAACCGTGAAGCCAATTTGGGGTTTTCAAGACACCCACGATGGGGTGTATTAGGTAATTCATAGATGCGACAGTTAGGACAAATCAAGGGAAAGGCTGCCTGATGCGCCTCTGCCAACTCCTAGCACTGGGGAGCTTGAATGCTGAGTTATAATCTACAGTCTGATGGCAGGAGGTCTCTGTGAAAGGAATAAACAGAGATTTGGTGTTTCTAGTTCAGTCCCCTAGAATGTCTAGGCTTCTGTTTTGCTACTTGGTCCAACAGCGTGAGTCACACAATCCTGCCTGGCACCCCGCTGTCCTCTTCCAGGAGGGGGACTGCTGGATGAGCACCTGCCCGCCCTGCACTGCCATTGGCCCGCTGGGGATGGGGGAGGGTCCTGAGAAGAGCAGGATTGATCCTTTGCTTTGGCTTCTTTGTCCTTAAAATTACAAGAGTCTTCCGTGCATGGTACTGGGTGAAAGAAGCCAATCTGAGAAGTTGCCGTATTATTCCGACTCTGTGACATTGTGAAAAAGGCAGAAGTGGTTGCCAGGAGCTGGGGGAGCGGGGAGTGGGGATGGACAGTGGAGCACGGGAGTTCGAGGGCAGTGAAACACCATGCATGGTGTCGCAGTGGTGGACACACATTATTCATTTCTCCAAAGCCGTAGACTGACCCCTAACGTAAACCAGGGACTCTGGGTGGTCACGATGTGTCAGTGCAGATTCGTCACTTGTCACGGATGTCCCACTCTGGTGAGGGGTGTTGGTAAAAGGGGACAGACACTGTGCATGTGGGGAGCGGGGAGGGGTGGGTAGGAAATCGCTGTCCTTCCTCTCTATCTTTTCCGGGAACCTAAAACTGCTCTAAAAACAATAAAATCTGTAAAAAATAGTTTTCAAGGAGTCTTCTTCGATAGTCCCAGGGACCCTTCTAGCTCTAGTCGACGACGGCCTCTGAGCTCAGAAGGTCGTTTCCCCAGAAGGTCAGCGTCTCCCAGCTTTCCCCTGTGGCGAGTCTTAGAAGAGTCTTAGAGTCTAAGAACCTAAAGTCTTAGGAGGATAACGAAGAGCAAGGTGTCCACTACTGACTTGCAAAGGGGAAGGGACCGTGGCTGTGCTGCTGGTTAGGGACAGAGCTGGGTCCCCGGGACAGAGCTGGGTCCCCAGCCCAGGGCCCCCTCCATGTCAGCTGGTCACATAACCGAGCGTCATTGAATGACGACACACATCCCTTAAGGTAAAAAGTGGGCTCCAGCCCCGTCAAGGAGTTTGCATTTTCCTTTGTCTACTTGCAAAGGGGAAGGGACCGTGGCTGTGCTGCTGGTTAGGGACAGAGCTGGGTCCCCGGGACAGAGCTGGGTCCCCAGCCCAGGGCCCCCTCCATGTCAGCTGGTCACATAACCGAGCGTCATTGAATGACGACACACATCCCTTAAGGTAAAAAGTGGGCTCCAGCCCTGTCAAGGAGTTTGCATTTTCCTGTCTTCAGGTGAATCAGGAGACCTCTGCTTCCCGTTTATCTTCCCATATTTACCCGCTCTCCTTTCGCCGTCCTAGGACAAGCAGGGGATACCGTGGTGGCTTGGACTGAGCTATAAAGGAATCTTCCAGTATGACTACCAGGACAAAGTGAAGCCCAGGAAGGTAAGCGTTTTTCCTTTGTGAGCCAAAGAGGATCGGGCGGAGAAGCGGTAAAAGGTTCCGCCATGCAGCCCGAGGGCCTCTGGGCTCACCCAGCCCCTGCTAATTTGAGTGGGTACCAATGATTGAGCAGCAATCCAAGCTGAGCTCCCGGGGTGAATGTTGTTTCTCCCGGTCTCTAAGGAGACCTAAGCTGTTATCATTATTTAAGGGGACTGGCTCGGCTCTCCCAAAGCTATGGGGGGAAAGGACTTCGAGAGACTACCCTGTTCTTCTGTGCCCTTGGGAAAGTGGGGGAATGTCCCCCTAGAATCCTGAGGCTAACCTGAGTTTTCCCAAAGGTTTGTTTTTTGGAGGTGGAGGGAGTGGAGCTAAACGAAGCGATCGATGGTCAAAAAGAGGTGAAAAATAAAGAGGAGTGAGAGGCATTCTTGCCAATCCGGTAAATGTTTTACTTACGGCGTGTTAGAAATCTGGAAAAAATAAGGTCCTTCGCCAGAAAGAAAGGGAAGCAGAGAGGGATCTGCAAAGTCATGGTAAACGCAGAGCAGAACGTTTGAAGGGGGCACAGTGCTCAGATTTTCTGTTTTCGTTGACACACATTTTTCAAACCAGAACAGATTGAAAAATTATAGTGGAAACATCTCTCTGAGGCGAGAGCCGTCATCCAGATCCTCTGGCAGAGGATCACGAAGAGAAGACGGTATGCAGTTCAAACCCTGAAATACACAAGTCTGTGGAAACCACACGCGCTTTAGGAGAGAGAAAGCGACGTCGGTGCGTGATGTCATTCCACGCCACTCTCCCCGCTTCTCTCTCCACGCGCAGGATGGAAATCCACACCGCGTAGCTGAGCTTGTCCTCCTCTGTCCGGTTAACATCTGCCCTTAGCCAGCTTCTTTAAAAAAGGGCCCTGTGTGGGAGAGGATTTTCACTCCGTTCTTCAGCGAGTCCAGTTCTAAGATACTGAGCAAACGGCGTGAAGGAACTCAGCCGTGGGAACAGTTCCCTAGGATGCTGACCCTGCGGGGCATATTATTTTGTGGTCATCTCCCCAAACTCTCCGCTTTCCATGGAGATGCTGCAGGACGTGAATTGGACCCTGCGTTCTTATTTTTCTCTCGTTTTTCTCGGCCACAGGGTCTGTCCTTCCACACACTATTTCTTCCTGTTCCCCTCTGCCTCTTTCTCAAATCACCTTTGTGTCTGTGCTTTTTCTTCTCAAGTTCTGTCTTCAGCCCTTTTTACACCAACTTTCCTTTCTTCCCAACCTGCCTGTCCATTTTCCTGCTTGCAAGAGCCAGGAATGCTCCCAGACCCTTTCACAAAATTCTGGTTACAGTACAGCCAGCTCTTGAAGGCCCATATGGGTGGAAGGCCAAGGTCAACGTGGACACCTGAGATCCACAGCCAAGTTCATTAAAATACAGCTGTTGAATTCTCTCCCTCAGAGCCTTTTGAAAGATATAGTAACAAGTATTCATGCCTGTTCAGTTTAATTTATTAATATGTTTAGCTTGCTTTATTTCTCTACTTGAGGTACTAAGAAAGATTAAAGAGGTAAGAGATAACTCTTGATGTATGTAAAAGACAGGGCGTGATACATTCCAAGGGCCTGATAAATTTAGAGTTTCAAGATAAGAAGTAGGAAGCTGGAGGTGTGAATAATCAACTATTGAATAAGAGAGTTTCCTCTGATTTGTGGAACTTATCCAGGTCATTTGACATTTTAAAATGTTAAAGAGTCAATATATGTATTCAAGGTATCAGCGCCGTTCAAACCCAGTCATTACTTGAAATAACAAATGCTTCTGTGGCCTCTGGGGAAGTGGTTGGGATTCTCAATTCTACCGCCAATCAAAGGACAACGAAGTCATCAGAGTCACTGTTGATTCATTCATTTATCCGTTCGTTCATTTTTTAAATGTTTATTGCATATCCGTCATGTGCCAAGCTGACTGCAGGATACTGAGATGCCTAAGACGCGCGTCATTCCCTCAAAGCCTGCCCAGGCTGTAAGGTTGGGGGGCGGGGAGCTGCGTGGTAATTGCATTAGCGGTCCCATGCGCTGTATTGGAGGTGTGCGGTGGTGAATTAAAGGATGGAGCTTGAGGAGGAGAGACAGGTCTTCACAGGCAGCAAAGTGGAGAGCTGCGTCTCCGCGGATGGACGAGTCTCGCAGGTGGACGGACGGGGTGCTGAGACGTGCAGGCTCAGGGACCCGCACGGGTGAAAGCGTGGGAAGGACAGCCGCGTGGCGTGATGGGGATCCACAGGGCACTGCTGGGGGCTGGAGCGGAGTGAGGGGAGGGCAGCCGGAGAGGAGGCCGAGGCCCCAGCGCCAGCTCTCCGAGCCCTGAAGGCTTTGCCCAGAGGATTTCGTCTCGGAGGCAGTGGGAGCCACTGAGTAATTGAAGGAGGGGAGCTTCCGTATCAGATTTTCATGGTTACAGAAGCCTCATCCGGCAGCGTATGGAGGTGGGTTGAAGGTGTACAGGACAAGACTTGCAAACTTATTACGGTCCCGTGGGCCAGAACCGGTGGGGGCGTGAGGTTGGCCGTCAGTAATAGGGATGGAGAAGGGGAAGCCGAAGCGAGATGTTTACAAGGCAGGTGTGATTGATGGATTGTGCGGGGAGAGAGGGTGGCAGTCGGAGCAGGGGAACCTCGGATGGCTCCGAGGCTTCTTGATCAGCCGAAGCATGGGACGTGAGAAGGGGAAATAAGTTCAGTTTAGGACATACAGACTTAGAGGCTTGATGGGACATCCGGCTGGTCGTGACAAGCGGACAGTTGGGTATTCAGTGGGAGCTCAAGAGCACCAAGAGTTTCTGAAGCATAACTGAACCAGAGACTGATGGAGAGAGGAAGGGGAGAGGCACTGGGCACACCTGAAAAATTACCAGTCTGAGTGTGAAATTAAGACCAGGCCTTTGAAAAGCCCTTAAGGGGAAAAGAAGCCTAAGTTTCATCAGCCCAAGAGGTATCCACCTCTGCAAAGACCTGGGATGAGCCCTCAACCCAAAAGCAGAGACTCACCCAGAGCCATAGGTAAGAAGTCACAGCTGCAGTAAGCAAGGCAGGGCGCCCGTTCCTTCCGCTCACGGCCAGCCTTCCTGCCGTGGTAGGAGGGCGGGCTTCGTTGCATATAAGGCACGTGAGAGTCTCTGCGTGCAGACCGCGCTCCTTGGCTCCAGAGCTGTGACTCTAGAGAGATGACACGCACATACTGTCATGACAACCAGTGTAGATCACTTATCGAGTGCCTGGAGTCTGTCGTCGGTGCCCTAGGCCAGTGATGCTTTATCTCAGCTGAAAATGGGAAACTCATGCAAAACCGTTTGAATAGATAGATACCACGGTCTCCCCCACTCCCTCTCACCTCACCCCATCTCTGACCCGGCAGCTGAATGTTTAGAAAGCCTGACGCACCGCTGGAGTGGAGGCCCCGCTGTCTGCGCTTCCTTTCCACTCTCGGGCTCAGAGGCGCGGCAGGCATGTCTGGCAGTGCCTTTGGGCACAGGTTGCTGGTGTGTCCTGAGACACAGCGCTCCAGGCTGGGCCAGCCGCGGGTGAGGGATGGCCCTCCAGGTGGCGCCACACCCTCCTACCCCCCTCCTCCCCCGGGGAAGAGCTCCCCGCAGGGAGGCCTCAGCAACGCTCAAGAAGCCGGGAGTGGCACCCTGTTCTGTGCACCTGGAAGGAGCTTCTGCTGCAGCAGCTGCACCTCCAGCCTGGGCAGAGGTCCTTCCTCACACTCCGACCCAGTTACTGCGGCTGTGTCACGTGGTGCCACAATGTTAGGAGCCAGCGTTCAAGTCGGGGCAGGGGTAGGTGTGCTCTGTTTCCTCCGGAGGGCCCCCAAGGCATCCTCTGGTACCCCTGGTACGTACGGTTCCCGTAGCATCAGCAAACCACGAGCACGCCAGGGAGATCCGCACCCTCCTGGGAGAGTCGCTCGTGTGTTCCCACGTGGCCCGCCAAACAAAAAATGTGGTGGCTGATTGCCGTGCAGACATGGGCGGGACGGAGGCTTGTTCCGGATTCTCTGGTTGGGGTGCTGTTTTCTGTTTTCCATTCTGGTCACAGGTTCTACCCTAAATTGCTTGATCCTCGCTCTGAAGCCCTAGTGGCTTTTGGGGAGATGGAGTCAAAGCACTGGGTGCCTCAGGTGGGATGGAGACAATGGCCCTCTGTCTGCTACCTGGACCTTCAGCAGCCTGAAGTGCTAGCTGCTGATGTCTGTCAGAAAACATAACAGCCTCTTTTCCCTCAGGGCACACGTGGCAGGAACAGCCAGCCACGTGGAGACACCCAGAGATAGTGTTTTGGCTTTTGTGTATATTCAGATACTCAAGGTCAACTTCAGAAACTTTAGAACTACATGTGCAGAAGAATCGCCACCACCACCACCCCACAACAGCCTTTAAAAAATCAGCAAATAGGACTAAACAAAGAAGTGTGGGAATGACGATATGTGTGTCTGTCTTGGCTCAGCAGTAAATACAGGGTCATGGTAATAAACAGTCTTGCAGCCGCCTCACATGGATTGTGTCCCGCTGTTTTCTCCCAGCTGCCCAGCTCCGTTCCGTGTACGAGCGTGGAGACCCCGAGTGCTGTGTAAGAAAAGTCTTTCGTTTCTCAAGTTACAGCCCTGTTGTTTTCAGGGAACAATGAAACATTGTCAGATTGGCATCTGGGCACTGGAAGTCAACCTCGAGCTTCGTTTTCGTTGCCATTTAATGCCCAGCAAAGAAACTCAGGCCATGAGACAATGGCCCTCTGTCTGCTACCTGGACCTTCAGCAGCCTGAAGTGCTAGCTGCTGATGTCTGTCAGAAAACATAACAGCCTCTTTTCCCTCAGGGCACACGTGGCAGGAACAGCCAGCCACGTGGAGACACCCAGAGATAGTGTTTTGGCTTTTGTGTATATTCAGATACTCAAGGTCAACTTCAGAAACTTTAGAACTACATGTGCAGAAGAATCGCCACCACCACCACC